ATAATAATAATAAAAATTTGTTTATACCCTGCCCCTCTGCATTGCATTGCAAACATCTGGAGCTGGAGACCTTTTGGAATGGCTGGGCAACATGTGGAACTGCTGATCTGAAATAGGAAACTTACCATGGAAATCAATCCTTACCAAAGGACTGGCAGATAACCAACAAAACTCCATTTTTTAAAAACTGAACAAAGAAAAAAAAATAATATCCAGAGATCTGGGCATGGAAGGGAAGGATGTGGATCTAGAAACGTACAAACCTATCCTCTTCACATTTTACTCAGTTAAATCGAGTAAAAGTATTCTTAAATCTGAAATTGTTCCAGAGAGAGAGAAATAAACAAGCCTTGCAGAGGATAAAACAGTATGGCTTTTGTGAACGAAAGGTCTGGATTGCCCTCTTTTTGGGGCGTTCTTGTGGATGTCAAAAACACACAGAGAGGAATAGAAGTGCTGTGGTGGAAGAAGGACTGTCAGTTTCCCATTGGGGATGATAGGAGGTGTAGTGCAACGCATCTAGCAAACACTGGGATGAGGAAGACTATGGTAGGCAATATATGCTTGGACTTCAAAAAGCTGTCTATCGATAGATCGATCGATCAATCAATCAATCAATTTATTGATCTATCTATCCATCCATTCATTATCATCTATTGTAGGCTTTATCCTCACTGCAGAAATAATCTATGCTGACACCACTTTAACTGCCATGGTTCAGTGCTATAGAGTTTTGGGAATTGTAGTTTTGTGAGCCATTTAGCTCTCTCTGTCAGAGAGCTCTGGTGCCACCACAAGGCACAGTTCCCAGAATTCCCTATCATCGAGCCACGGCACATAAAGCGGTGTTAAACTGGATTATTTCTGCAGTGTGGATGCAGCCCTAGACAATATGTACTTCATTTGGCAAAACCAGGCCCCAAAACCCATTGAGCAAAAGTCAGCAGTCATGGGGGTTACAATAAAGGTAGGAACTGTGTGGTCCTCCAGGTCCAGTTGAGTTGCAACTCCCATCAGCCTTAGCATAGTTAAAGGCGAAGAATGCTGGGACCTGCAGTCCAACAATGTTTGGGGAGTGATGGGATTTCTGCCCCTAGATTACAGGAGAGATGACATTTCTTCAGATTTGATGAATGGGCATCAAAACAATAAATGTGGTTTAATGTAAGTACCTGTAAAGTGATGGATACTGGATACGAGGTTGGGAAGAAATATTTACTTTTCATATATACTGGAGGATCAGACCCAACATTTGGTGGAGCCCAGCTGTTGCTCTGTGTCCGTTATGCTCAATAATAGGAACCAGATGCCATTTCCCACAAGGATTATTATGCTTCCAGCACCAGAGGTCAAATTCTTGCACTGAGAATGGCTGTCCACAAGTTCGGATGTAAGCAGATTACAACCTTTAGCAACGCCAACTGCGTTCTGTTAACTCTGCAGATAGCGTTTTCCTCCCCAAACTACTTTTCTGGAGGCCCCAACATCTTTTCCAATGGTTTTCACCTTCTTTCCTGTTACTGAGGATGCCAGGTGTCCCCTTTTTAAAAAATGAAATGAAAAGAAATAAGAGAAGGTCCTTATTTGAAAGCTTATTTCCTTATCAGAAAGCTTGCTCCTTATAGGACTGGATGGTGCCCCTTATTATAAAGGGTGTCCTCTGTTTGAAGGTTGGAAAGCTTTCCTTTTATACAAACTGAAAAAGATGCCAAAAAAAAAAATCTCGTATATTTTTGAGCATGGCCTGTTCATGAAGATAGCAATGTGTGCCTCAAGTAATTTAGGAATGTGGACAGTATGTTATTTTTACAGAAAAATACGCGGTTAAATGACCCAAAACCAATACGTTCCATTTGGATTCAGAGAGAAGACAAATTTGTTAACAGTTGATTGTCAACCCTGCATGCATCATCATCATCATCATCATCATCATCTGTATCTCTTATCCACCTTGCCATGTGTATCAGAGGTGGGGAACAACTACAGATACATTTGTTGCCGGGGGGCCGGGAGGGGGGGAAAATGGCACGGGGGCAGGCTGGCTGGGCGCATGCTTGCGCTTGCGCACACACCCGCCACCGTGCGCATGCGTGCGGATGTGGGCTGCCATCTTGGAAGGCCACAGCGCTCGTGCGCCGGGTGAATTTGCCTGGCACACATGTGCTGCGGCCTTGCCAGGGCCCAGGGAAGGCTCCAGCGTGCCTGCTCTGGGCAAATTCGCCCAGCGCACGTGCGCTGCGGCCTTCCAAAATGGCACCCGCGCTTGCGTGCATGTGTGCGGGTGCTATTTTGGATGCCAAAATGGCACCTGCGTTCACGCGCGGAGCGGCGGCAGCGGCAGGACCAGCCAGAGGCTGGTCCCAAGGTCTCCGCGGGCTGCACCCGGCCCGCGGGCCATAGGTTGCCGACCCCTGGATTAGACACATACCCCCCACCCAGTTTAAAAAGCATATAGAACCCAGAATATATTTGAAAGGATCAATTTATACCTTAAAATTCATACTTTAAAAATCATCTCAGTAAGCCCATTGGAAGACTGGCCTTTACCGATTTTCTGAAGTCAAGACAACGTATCCATCTCATAAAATCTCCTCTGGCAGGTCATTCCTCAAACTTTGGGCGGGTGAAGAAAATGTCGGGTGTCAGCTTAGTTTTGGCTGAGAAGTAAATGCCCCCCCCCC